GACTTCATTTTATAAATGAAGACATTTATAAGCTCAAATAATAGCTAATTTTATTAAATTGAACCACATACAACTGACTATTCTTATCAGTCAGAGATGGGCAAATACCAGTAGTTGTCTATGAACCTAATACTTTTTTGGACTCTGACATACAAATGTCATTTAAAACTGGTTTTACTATAATTTGGCTTGAACCCTTAAGTTGAATTGTCTCTCCATTTATCTCCTGTCTGTGTGTTCAGTACGTCGGTGAAAGCGAGCGTGCTGTGCGGCAGGTTTTTCAACGAGCCAAGAACTCAGCGCCCTGTGTGATCTTCTTTGATGAAGTGGATGCCTTATGCCCTCGAAGATCAGACCGAGAGGTAGTTGTCATCGAGTCGTCCTTTACAGATTCCTTTTTGAGCACCACAAATCTTTACAAACAAGTTTTTATAAAGTTTCTGTAAAGTTCTAGGAGTTCTTGTAAAGTCATTCCTCGAGAACATTGGGACTCTTTTTGCGAAGTAGCCTAGTAATTTGAAATCAGGGCTGAGGGATAACAGTTGCATTTTTATTAACCTTGTATCCTGTTTTGTTTGGTTTTTAGTATGTTAGTTTCGTTACACATACTGGATTCATACAAATGAGTAGCTGGGACTGGAAATGAGACTGAATGCGAAGTAACCTAGTAATTTGAAATCAGGACTGAGGGATAACAGTTGCATTTTTATTAACCTCTGTATCCTGTTGTTGTTTTAGTATGTTAGTTTGGTTACACATACCGGATTCACACAAATGAGTAGCTGGGACTGGAAATGAGACTGATTTTGAAAAGTCTGCCTTGTCATCTTAAGATTCTCCAGTTTAAATGAGTTCTTTAGGCAGGAGAAAATGTAATTTAAGACACGCACTCACCGCAGGGCCAGGTAATGTGCACTGACTCAGCACCATTACACTCTGGGTGCCTTCTGGGATCCAGCCTTCTCCATCCGACTGGCCTCAACATTCCTGTGTTTACTCGGGCAGAGGGAATGGGGAGCAGATGAGAGAGTGTTTTTTCCTACGTGTCTAAAGTTCTTTTTCTATAGGGCAGGTTTAGTTTTCTCAATTCCTGTTTTCTGATGTCTCACATTGGAAAAAAAAAAAAACTACTCCCAAAATTATTGCCCCAGAACTTTTCTCTCGGGTGTTGCCCTGAGGTAGCTGCACTTGTGCTGGATACTTCAAGGAAAAGAGAAAAAGACCCAGTGTCCTAGATGAGGCATCATCTGATAGAGGTAATCTGGTCTGGCATTCAAAAGTTCAGTCTAGATTTGTCCAAAAGGAAATTTGTTGTGGCTCTTAGATCCTTGAATAACTAAGAGGCGTAGACTTTGGAGTCAGATAAAGCTGAGTTTGAGTTTCATTTCTGCCCTTACCTTGCTGTGAGACCACGGACATAACTCATCCTCTCATTCACAATTTCCTATTGAAACTGTGGATAAAGTAAGAGGATTGCCCAGCTGGTGTGGTTCAGTGGTTGAGCATAAACCCATGAATCAGGAGGTTCTGCGTTTGAGTTTCATTTCTGCCCTTATCTTGCTGTGAGACCACGGACAAATAACTCAACATCCTCTCTCATCCACAATTTCCTATCGAAACTGTGGATAAAGTAAGAGGTTTGCCCAGCTGGTGTGGTTCAGTGGTTGAGCGTCAACATATGAAGCAGAGGTCACAGTTCCATTCCTCATCAGCGCACGTGCCAAGTTGCAGGTTCGAATCTTGGTAGGGTCCTGCAGAAGGCAGCCGAGCAGTGATGATTCTCATCACTAATATTTTTCTCTCTCTCCCTTCCTCTCTGAAATCAATACAAATATATCTTTTTAAAAAGGGTTTGCTGGGGAAACAAGGGAATGAGAACATGTTTTGTCCAGTGCTTGTACAGTAACTAGTCAGGAAATGATCATGATTATCTCTTGACAAACATTCAAATGAGCAAGTGTATTATCTTATAAGGCGAAATAAATTGGTGATGGATTTTTCCTTTTATTGGGGGCTGATGGAGCTATGTTTGTTTCTTTTTAGACAGGGGCAAGCGTCCGAGTGGTGAATCAGCTCCTCACAGAGATGGATGGTCTGGAAACGCGTCAGCAGGTTTTCATCATGGCAGCCACTAACAGGCCAGGTGAGACAAAGCATTCAAGAACATACAGTTTACATACATCCTGGTCAAGGAATAACGAAAAGGGTTCATAAGTTGAAATAAAGCCTTAGAAAGCGTTTATGTAAGCTATAGAGAAAACATAGTATTGCCTGGATTTCATGAGTGTTTGTTTTGTTTTGTTTTCTGTGTTGCTGCTCAGAAAGTTCTCTCGTTGGTAGAGAACATGTGTAACATACACTTTTCTTTTTTTGGTGTAACTTGCACTTTTGACCACAGAAACAGGAATCTGAATTTGTGTCCTGTGGTTTCTCTCAAGCTGATAGGAAACAGCAATGAGACTCTTTTCTTTGTATCTGAAGGTTGAAGATGGGTTTTTAAGATTTTATACTGGAACCATGTCCCTGTACTTGTGTTTAACTATTATTTAAAATAGTTTACAAGCTTAAGCACTCAATGAAGGATTTAGAAAAAGGCTCAGAACCTCAAAGGTGCTAGAGGTGGCTTTTACTCTGGATCCTAAATTGTCTTCACATTGTTTAATTCCTTGCCATCCCTATGAGCCAGTGTCATAGCTGCCCCTACATTGATGTTTGTGTTAACTCTGATAGCAGCGATAGGGTAATTTAATTCCTTAAATGGACTTTATCAGTTGTCCAGCTGATACATTTTTTCATGTAAGTTACCATAGAAACTCAAAACCTTCATGAATTATATGCCATTTTATTGTAAAATGTAAAATCAGAAGTTGTTATGGTTTATACTTTGACTCTTATAATAATGAAACGCTCTCTTTGGAATCAGACAGAACGAGGTTTGAGTCCTGGCCTCAGCACTTCATAGCTTAGTAACTGCTGTGTTCCAACCCAAACTGGTCTAACACCAGAGAAGTAGATTGTAAGTCAGTTCTGACTCACCGCCTGGAGTTAGTGTCAGGCCCGCAAGTTAAGGAGTCAGTCCTCTACAAAACCCGCCGCTCAGAGGCAGCCTCAGTGCTTCTCCAGGGCACTCACACTTCTGATCAGCCTGCTACAAATGTGAGAATTCCCATGACCCCCTCAAGTTCAGCAATTCACCAGAACAGCTAATAGAATTCAGAAATGCACTGTATTTACACTGACAGTGTATCGTAAGGGACACCCACCCATACAGTAGGTCTTGGAGGGCGTATAGAGTGTCAGTGCCCTCTCTCCATGGAGTCGGGACCCATCGTCCTCTGGGCGCATCACTGTGTTTTGAACTGGGCCACACCCTTGAGCTTGGATGCAGTGCTTTTATGAGGGCTGTATACTGTAGCCATGATTGACTAAGTCACTGGCCTGTGGTGGAGGTCAGTCTTCAGCTCCCCCTGCCCTCCCCAGAGGTCTTGGTCCAAGTTCCAACCCTCTGATCACTTGGTCTTTCTGGTGACTGTCCCCGTCCTGAGGTTATGTTGGCACCAGCCAAGTTGTCTCATTAGCATAATGAAGACTCCTAACTCAGGAAATTCCAAGGATTTTTGAAGGAGTATGCCAAGAACCAGGGGCAAAGATCAAATTATCTTTTATTGTGCCACATTAATCTTGTGCATATATTACTTCATCTTGCTAACCATCATGTCTCATCTCTGAAATGAAGATAATAATACCTAATTGTCAGGTGAAGTGATATTAGCAATCTACCACAGTGTGTGGCAAGTAGCTATTTAGTAATTATTATCATTGTCGCCAGCACTTGTGGTAATAGCAGTAGGAACAGTCATTAGGTCATAAAATCCCAGCTTTCCTAGAAGAAAGCTTGAAAGTCCCTCAGATTTGGACAGAATCACCTCCTACATTTCCAAAGTAGATACACAGCTTTGTAGCAGATTTCACGTAGAGAGTCTTTGGTCTGATGTCTAGAGTAACATATTCTATGTACTGGCACTCATTATTGGTCATGTTTGCTTAATGTGAAAACTTAGTGTAATCTCTGTAGATTATCCTATATAATAAAAGCATAATATGCAAATTGACCGAACAACCAGTCAGTGGTGGGCAGGGCCAGCAAGCAGGTGGTGCCAGGCCAGCAAAGGCAGGTGCCAGCGGGCAGAGGGAGGGGACGGCAATCCGGGGATTGCAGCAACCAGCGGCAGTGGAGGGGCAATAGGGGGCAGGCCCGGAGCTGCCCCCCAGTGGTCAGTGCGCTCCCACAGGAGGAGTGCCGCTCAGCCACAAGCCGGGCTGAAGGCTGGTGAGCACTAAGGATGTCCGACTGATGGCTTAGGCCCGCTCCCCATGGGGAGTCATCAGTCGGACATCTTCCGAGGGCTGCGGGCTGCGAGAGGGTGCATGCAGTCTGGGCAGAGGGGACCCCCTCTCCCTCCTCCAGTGCACGAATTTTCATGCACCAGGCCTCTAGTTAGAAAATATTCAGTGTCACTAAGTTTTACTTAAATCCTCTCCTTCAAAACAGTCCAGGTACATTACCTTTCCTCATGGGTTTTTCTCTGTGGTCTCTCTATTCATCTTGGAATTCTTTGCACTTTCTTTTTTTTTTTTCCACAAATTTTTTTTAATATATTTTATTGATTTTTTACAGAGAGAAAGGGAGAGAGATAGAGAGTTAGAAACATTGATGAGAGAGAAACATCAATCAGCTGCCTCCTGCACATCTCCTACTGGGGATATGCCCGCAACCCAGGTACATGCCCTTGACCGGAATCGAACCTGGGACCCTTCAGTCCGCAGGCCGACGCTCTATCCACTGAGCCAAACCGGTTCCGGCCATCTTGGAATTCTTTACAGTGCTCCAGATTCTCCTTAGTTGTAAAACCCAGAACTGAATATAATAGTCTGTGTTGAGTTTAACCAGCAATACAAATGACAGATGAATCATCATGTGTTTTGTCCTTTCCAGTGACCTTGAGTATTGTCTTCCTGTCCATTGCACCTTACTCATCCCTTTTCCCCCAAATTGAACAAACCCCATTGCGTTGAAGGCCTGCTCACATTTACAAATGGATATTCTAGATCTTTTTCACTTGCATTTACGCTTATTGGCCATTCTGTTCTGTTGTACACTATGCTGTGACATTCTGGTTGGATGGTTTATAACTTGTTTTCTACTCAGCTTTAAGCAATCCCTTCTTGCCTGATGTTCTGGTCAGCTACTGCTGACTGACAGACTCCTGCGGTACTTAGTGCCTTAAAATCGCCATTTTTACTTTGCTCACAGTTTTGTGGGTCGGGAATCCAGGAAGGGCTTGTCCAGGTGGCTCAGCTCTGACCCTTGTGCCATCAGCTGGAATGGCTGGGCCAGAGAACCCCTGCCAAGGGGGCTTCTTACTCATGTCCAGTGCCTTGGTGTCCCTTGGCATGTCTCTCCCCCACACTGACTGTCATCTTCCCAGACCTCCCGTGTGGCTCGGGCTTCCATGAGCATGGCTCTCTGAGTACTCCGACTGCTCACATGACTGCTGGTCCCAGGAGACCAGAGTGGGGCTGCCATTCCTCCTAAAGGCAAGGCCCTGGATGGGCAAACTCTGTTGGTCAGGACAGTGGCAGGAAAGCCCAGATTCAAAAGAAGAGGAAGTAGGAATTGTCTCTGAGAAAATTGACTCTCTCGTTCATCAAGTGTTTGATTTTGAGTATATGCCTGGTTCTGCTGAGCTTTGGGAATTCAAAGGTTAACACTTCAGAGGTTAATTCAGAAAAATTCTTTGCCTGCGTATATTCTCATATGGGGCTGGGGAACACAGGAGAAATAATAGACAGAAATAAAGTAAAACAGGGTAGGAGGATACTGAATGATTGGCAGTTGGGGAGAGGAATGCTAATTTAGACTCCATGGGCCTGGGAGGCTTCATCAGAAGTGACGATGATTATTTCATGAATCCAAATAATGTGAAGGATTAAGCCATACAGAAATCTGGGAGAAGAGCATTCCAGGGAGAGAGCAAACAAGACGCGTGAAGGCCCGAGGTGAGAACAGATTTGGCCTTTTTTGGAGAACAGTAAGAGGGCCAGTGAGTCCAGAGTGGAATGAGTGGTGGGGACAGTGATGGAGAGGTGCTTGGGCCTTTTATGTCGCAACAAGGGGTGTGGATTTTAGCCTGCCGTGATGGGAAGACACAGGAGGGTTTCGAGCAGGTTTCAACACTGTTTATTCTGTGACTCAGTTCCTGTGAATTAACTCCCTAAGAGAATGGGCAGAACAAGTCTTCGTGGTTTTAGATCCAATTAGTGAGTGACATGAAAAGGATAAACCCACTCAGGGAAATCAAAAGACCCTGCAAAACCTATAACAAAAACTTCTCTGTCCCACCCCTCCCCATCCCCTGCCCAGAGGCAACCACTTGTAAACTCCTTGAGCTATTTCTTCTGTATTTCCTCCATATTTTCAAATAATATGTTCAAATGGTTCTTTCTCACCAATGTTACACACTGCCCATTAACTTCTTTTTAAGGTAGATGAAGATCATTATCTTGTGTTCACCCTTTCTCTACCCCCTCATCCTCACCCCCATACCTCTGTTCTCTTCGCTCTGTCCTCCTAATATTTTAATACTGGAGGCCTAGTGCACAAAATTTGTGCACAGGTAGGGTCCCTAGGCCTGGCCAGCGATTGAAGCGGAGTGTCTGGCAAGGAAGGGCAGGTCTCAGCTGACCTCTGGGCCCTGGGCAGCACCTGGGCCCCGAAATCATGCAGAAGTAGCTCACTTCCGCTTGCCTCAACTGGCCGCTCCGCCCATCGCTGCTCGTAGCTCGTGCCCCGCCCTCTGCCACTCGTAGCTCTCCACCACTAATAGCTCGCCCCTGCCTTCTGCCGCAAGAGCCTTTGGTCGTGACGCCGTAACGGCCTTTTATGATACAGATAGAAGGTAGTTTGATCACAACTTCAGTTAAATCACTAGTCAGTGTTTACATTACTGATGACTAAATATTTCTCCCTGCTCCCCAAGAATAATTCTGTGATTGGGTTTCCTTTTCCATTTGACCTTGTTATTCTTAAATTTAATAACCCTAATATTTTTCTTTTGCTTTCTTTTCTCTGTTCCTGTTCTTCATCTGATGTGTTCCTTTGATTGTTTGTTTCTAATCTAGAGCCTTCCCTCTGGAGCCTTCCCCCCTCCTGCTCCATCTGGGCTGGCCACCCTCTGAGGCCGGGTCATTTCAGGGTCACCTTCCGGCGTTGCTTTGCTTTGCCCTCTGTTTCTGATGTTATCTCTCTCTTGGTTTACTCTCTCATTTTGCTAGAGCTTATTTTTCAGCGGCTTTTCTAAGATAGGTCATGCAGGAGGTAACTTTTTTGATTGCTTGTATATTTGAAATTATCTTTATTCTGTTCTCATTATTGATTGGCAGCCTGGCAGGGTATAGAATTTGAATTGAAAACATTTTTCCCCCCATAATTTGTATTTTTTTCTCTCTCTCTCTTTAAAGGTCCATGCCATTCTGGTCCTGTCTATGTGACTTTTTGTTCATTTGTTTTATGTATATGCTTAGTACTTGGTGGATCTTAAACCCTCCCGTATTGATCTTCTAAATTTCTTCTTTTCTCCCATTTCTAGCTCTGTCTTTATCTTTCTTCCTAACTTTTGAGGTACTGGTTTTTACAAAGTAAATGAAAAGACTCTCTCCTCCCCCTTCTACCTCTGGTTGTTCTGAAGAACTGTGACCGCCCTCTTCTGGGAGTAAACCAGTTCCCTGTGCTCAGCCCAAGGGCATGAGGCTCCTTGTACAATCACTTCTAGACCACAGGTGGCCTAGTTTTACTCTCTCCTACACACTCCTTTGCATTCCCTTCTTTGAATACCAACTCCCTTAAAGGATGTTCTCGGTTGAGGAACTACCTGTTCCCATTTAACTCCCTGACTAACTGGTTAAAAACACTCCCGCACAGCATACATCGTGTATGAAACCCAGACAGCTACACCAGCTCATTCCTTTCTCTTCTACTCGGTAGGGGTCTGTTTCGGCAGCATTTCAGCATCTAGAAAGAGTTCCGCCTTCTATGTATGGCTCAGTTGAAAAAAGTAGTAAGTACATTATGTCTAAACTTCTTCCAGGCCAGGATTAGGTTTGCACTTTTATATTGGAGAGATAGCCCTAGTTCAAGGTCTCTGTCCAGCCCAGCTGGTGTAGCTTAGTGGTTGAGGGTCGACCATGAATCAGGAGGTCAGAGTTCTATTCCCACTAGGGCACATGCTGGGGTTGCAGCTCGATCCCCAGTGTGAGGCATGCGGGAAGCAGCCAATCAGTGATTCTCTCTCATCATTGATGTTTTGAGTTCTCTTATCCTCTCCCTTCTTCTCTCTTTCTAAAATCAATAAAAGGTCTCTATAATTATTTGTCAGATGAAAGTATGGATGACTTACAAAGAAAAGGTTTATTTCATTATTTAGCCACTTGAATTCCGAGTGAAATGTACTGTCTCCTGACCTATCTAATCTGAATGGCTTTGGATCATGGTTGAATGTTCCTTGAAGGCAGTTGACCAATGATTAGATGCCATAGTCAAGCTTGTATATCTTACCCTTTGGCACAGTACTGCCCTTTTAAAATTAACTTAGGCCCTGGCATCACCTCTGCTGATTTATGGGTACCCTGGTACATAGTAGCACTCAGTAACTATTTGTTTAATGAATCATAGGAGAGCTATACTTCTGTTTCATGAAGGCCGTCTGATCTTGTAATAATTTTCACTGGCACAGTGAGAGTCTCATTCGTCTGAAGACCTAATTTTTGTAAAAATCAGCTTTAGTGGCATATGCAGTATGCCATAATTTTTACCCATTTTAAATATACGACTCAGTGGTTTTGAGTATACTTACAGAGTTGTGCAGCCATCTCAACAGTCTAATTTTAGAACATTTCCATCACCCTAAAAAGAAATCTGTGTCAGTGGCCACTCCCCATCCTTCCCCCACCTTCAGCCCTCGGCAACCACTAATCTACTCTCTGTCTCCATAGATTTCCCTGCTCTGGGTATTTCATGCACGTGGAAAAGTACAGTATGTGGGCTGTAGTGCCTGGCTTCTCTCACTGTAGTGACGTCTCCCGGGTTCATCCATGTTGTAGAACGTGTGGACACGTCACTCCTTTTTGCTGCTGGAAATTCTTCCTAGTGTGGTGCACCGCCTTTTATTTCTTCACCAGTTGGTGGACATTGAGGTTGTTTCTTGATCAACAGATAGGAGGTGTTCCTCTTTGGGCATCCGTCTCATTTGTGAGTGATGCATTTTGTCTTTAAAGCTTTGCGGGGGGCGGGGTTGTTGGTGACTTTTTCATTGCAGATGTAAGAATTGATATCTTGACTCTGACACAATTATGTAGGGATTCAGTTAGGAAATACAGCAATAGTCCAAGTGCAAGATGTTGTTTGTTGTACCAGGCGATGCCTGGGGATGTAGAAAGAATCTGGACATGTTGTGTCATAGAGTTGACAGGATTTGCTAGTGGATTGGATATGGATGTTGGAGAGTAGAATCAAGATTGACTCCAGGGTCCTACCTGGTTTGGCTCACTGGAAAGAGCATTGGCCTGCGGACTGAATGGTCCCTCCTCATTCATTTCCAGTCAAGGGCACATGCTGGGGTTCCAGGCTTGATCCCAGTGTGGAGTGTGCAGGAGGCAGCTGATCCATGATTCTCTCTTACCATTGACTAGAGGCCCGGTGCATGACATTCGTGCACTGGGGGAGGTCCCTCAGCACAGCCTGTGCCCTCTCGCAGTCCAGGACCCCTCGGGGGATGTCCACCTGCCAGCTTAGGCCTGATCCCCAGTTTCAAAAAGTTAAGTATACACCTATAGTGTGATATAGCCATACTGCTTTGCATCCCACAAACACCTATACAGAGACCTGTTCACAAGTATTCATAGCACATAGTCCCAAAGTGGACTTGAGCCAAATGTTTATCAACAGAAGAATGAAAAGCAAATTGGGGTGTATCCATGCAGTGGAATAGTACGCAACAATAAAAAAGAATCAAGTACAAATGCACATAGCAGTTTAGCTAAATCTCAAAATAATTATGTTGGTATGATACCACTTATAAAATTCTAGAAAATGCAAACTAATCTATAGTGGCCGCTAGGGACAATGGGGGCAGGGAAGGGCAAGGCAGGAAGGTTACAAAGGAGTCCTCCTCCTTTTTTAAAGTGCAGAGGCTCCTGAGACCGAAATGTGTGAGACCTTTGCCCTGTAGACTCAGGTGACCCTTAGACATGCTTGTCCGGCGGTGCTCTGGCATGATACTGACAAGTTAGGCTTCGGTCTGCAGTGGGGAGCAGGAGGCGAGAGAACTGGGTGTGTATTTTAGGAAGTAGTCCTGGCAGCACTGTAAGGGGTCCCAGAGAGGGGCAGGTAGACTCACGGAGGACATTGCATTGGTCTTGGCTGAGGGTCGAGGTGAAGGGAGGCAGACTTGATAGCATGTGTCTCCCATTAGATCAGCGGTTCTCAACCTGTGGGTGGAGGACATTGCATTGGCCTTGACCTGAGGGTCGAGGTGATGGGAGGCAGACTTGATAGCATGTGTCTCCCAGTAGAGCAGCGGTTCTTAACCTGTGGGTCGCGACCCCTTTGGCGGTCGAACGACCCTTTCACAGGGGTCGCCTAAGACCATCCTGCATATCAGATACTTACACGATGATCCATAACAGCAGCAACATTACAGTTATGAAGGAGCAACAAAAATAATTTTATGGTTGGGTCACAACCTGAGGAACTGTATTTAAAGGGCCAGAAGGTTGAGAACCACTGCACTAGAGAATCTCCCATAGAGAAGAACTGGAGGGAAGACAAGTTGGGTTGATGCACATAAGAAAGGAGATGGAGTAAGTCCCGGAAGGAAAGAATTTATCAGGAAGGCCAGGGGTCCAGAGGGGACTCATGTTCAGAGAGAAGAGAGGTTTGTCCCGCACGGACGCCCAGAAGCCAGAAAGGTTATTTGATGTCTCCCAGATGCTTTGAGATAGTATAGTCTTTAAAATAGTGATAAAACTCCCACTTAAACGTACCGTTTTAACCATCTTTGAGTGTATAGTTCCTTGGCCTTGCTGGATTCACATTGTTGTGCAGCCCTCACTGCTCTTCATCTCCAGAACTCAGATTTTCTCATTCCTGGTCCAATGTTGTTTCCACTTTTTTTGACCTTTTAAAGTGTAATTCAGGCACAAAAAACGTGGAATATCATTCAGTGTCCAACTCCACGAGCTTTCGTAAACAATTCTCATTCCTGGTCCAATGTTGTTTCCTCTTTTTTTTTCTTTTTTTTGACCTTTTTATTAAAATGTAACCCAGGCACAAAAAATGTGGACATATTATTCAGTGTCCAACTCCACGAGCTTTCGTAAACAAACTCGATGCCACCCTCCCACCCTGGAGTTAATTGACTAAATTGAAAGCATTTACATTTAAGGAAACCTTAGGGGTCATGCAGTCTGACCATCTAGTTTTATACACACAGTGGGAGAGGAGGAGGAAGCACAGCCCTAGCCTGTTTGGCTCAGCGGTTAGAGCAGACTGACGGGTCTCGGGTTCAATTCCGGTGAAGAGCATGTACCTTGGTTGCAGGCTCGATCCCCAGTTCAGTTTGGGGAGTGTGTGGGAGGCAACCAATCGATGTGTCTCGCTCACATCAATGTTTCCCTCTCTCTGTCTCTCCTCCTCTCTTCCACTCTCTCTAAAAGTCAATGGAAAAATATCCTCAGGTGAGGATGAAACCCGCCCCCCCAAGGCACAAAGACCATTTGCCTAAGGTCACCCGGAGAGTATTTTTGCCATGATTATTTCCCGGGTCAAAGTGGATTGAATGAGGAAAAACTGATTCTTGAGCCTGTGTTAGATGAACATTTGCATTTTATTAAATAATAGCAGCCAGCAGATGTACAGCTCATGAAATTCTTAAATGCGCCCAGCTGGGAGGAAGGAGGGACCCGCCTGAGTGCAGGTGATGGACTGCACGAGGTGCTGGAACTGAACCACATCCTGCTTGGAGCAACGCCGTGCTAATATTTACACTTACCTTGAAGCTTAATGGCAAATACTCTCTTTGTGTGTGTATATTTCTTCTTAAGCTATTTCTTTTCTAATGTAATGATTACTACAAAGACTATAGGCTTTGTATATGCAGGTTATGAATCAGAATAATAAAGCAAATACTCACGAACCTGTCATTTATGTCATACATGTTAAATCACTAAAAGCTGTTTTGTTTGCCTCTGAGAGATACGAGAAACGTCACTAAACACATCGTGTGTGCATGCACGGCGCTGTGTCAGTGCTGTTGGAATGCTGGGACGGATCTGATACTTGTCCTTTCTAGCATCTCTTGGTAGGAGCTAAAGGGGAATTGGCACCACAGTCAGGGCTGCGTTCAGGTAAAGGGCTGAGAAGGAACACATTGAGTGGAGGGCTCGTGGCTGTTCTTGTAGAGCCGTTTCCTGCTGTTCGCTCCTGGCCGGCTGCAGTATTATTTCTCTCTTCCCGGCCAACCAGAAACCACGCACGTACGCACGTCAAGACCAAGCACTGCTTATGTCGTGGCCACGTTTAATCAGCAAAGGAAATGGGCTTCCTCCCCTTGGGGAAGATGGAGCTGGTGATTTTGTCCTTGGTGATGTTTTGTTTTTGCAACTGCAGACAGATTCTAAAACTTCCTAAGCATAAGTTGCCTTTAGCTTGTCCAGGTTTGGAGCCTGCTCCTTTTTAAAATATATATATATATTTTTTTTTTTTATTGACTTTTTACAGAGAGGAAGGGAGAGGGAGAGAGAGTTAGAAACATCGATGAGAGAGAAACATCAATCAGCTGCCTCCTGCACACCCCCTACTGGGGATATGCCCGCAACCGAGGTACATGCCCTTGACCAGAATCAAACCTGGGACCCTTGAGTCTGCAAGCCGACGCTCTATCCACTGAGCCAAAACGGTTAGGGCTGGAGCCTGCTTCTTAACCTCATTTCTCAAAATGGAAATTTGTAAAAATCTTCTAACACTGCTGCAGGAGTCAGTTACATTCATTTAATCACGTAGCCAGTGCTGTTTATTAAGAACCTTGCATGTGGAAAAGTATCGGTCATTGAACCCTCAATGACAAATCGTTTTTTCTCTCTCACTCAGAATGGCACCAAACCTGTCGTGGCCACGTTTAATCAGCAAAGGAAATGGGCTTCCTCCCCTTGGGGAAGATGGAGCTGGTGATTTTGTCCTTGGTGATGTTTTGTTTTTGCAACTGCAGACAG